TTTCTAAATATTTCCTGCTAAATTTATATATATGATCTTAATAACACCATTTTATGACATGAATAGAATTAATATAGTATCATGTAATTGCAATTCTTTTATCAAATATATCTTATACCCGATAATGATACTTAAATGTATCTAATTAAATATATATATTCATCAATGTATATATAATAATTAATAGTTTTCTGCCCGATCCTGCCCGTTCCTGTAAATCGTCGAACCCCTAGTCACGGCATTTCGGTGATGTTTTCTACACCAAATCGCATATGTCCAGATAGGATGTGACATATAGAAGTAAATAACTTCAAGAAATGCGATATTTCACAGTAATAAAGAAGTATTGGGTTCATAACTGGATCGTATGGGGTAGAATTGGGTAGTATGGGGTAGTATTGAGTCATGGTCACGGCAATTCGGTTATGTTTTCGGCACCAAATCGCATATTTCCCGATAAAATATGGCAGATGGAAGTAAATAACGTCTACAAAGGTGATATTTCATAGTAATAAAGAAGTATTTGGTTCATAACAGGGTCGTATGGGGTAGTATTGGGTAGTATTGGGTGGTATTGGGTGGTATTGGGTAGTATTGGGTAGTATTGGGTAATTAGACGCGCCGACAGCAATTACATTAAGTCCATATTTCTATTCATTCACTGTCTCGAAAATTGTTTAGTGGTTAGTCAATCTGCATTAAAAAAACATATCATAATTCTTTTTGTACACAATGAATCTTTCTCTTATTGCAAAGATTTTTATTGTTTTTTTTCATCTCTCGTGTTATGCTCGACAATGTAATGGATCATGCACTTCCTCAACATTACAAGAAACGTCCTATATTATAACATCGTTGTAATGTTTTGTGTCATATACTGAACATTTTCGTTTCATTTCTGGCAACATTTTTGTTGTCCACCAAACAAAGTTTTTAATATCAAATATACTTCAATGGTACCGTCCCGGTTGGAAAATAGAGGTATTTGAACTACAGTTACTGATTATACACACGGATGGCTGGCTGTTTTGACGTTTGGGTATCAAATATACTTCAATAGTAGTCCAGTTCGTTTTTGCAGAGGTTGAACACTATATATAGGTGGTCAAATATAATAGTAATACCTGAAATGCACAGGGAAATGTTAAGGAGAGGTTACAGACTTCTCTGTAAAATTATCTATACTTTGGTCACCTTTTTCATTCAGCATTCTATTTTATTGTTCTAACAGGTATAATATTTTTTTTCTATCTGAACTTTTTTTGTTTGAAATTTGTATTGATTTTTCTTTAATTGTTGCTTTGCATTTTTACCATTTTCTATTGCTTGTCTGTAGTCATTTATAACATGTTTTATTATTGCAATATATTTATCATCATTTAAGTAAACGCTATCCAATTTCCAGTGGGGTTTACCTCGAGTAGGCTTAATATTGTTTAGTGTAAGTGAGATTGCCACGTATTTTATTAACAACGGGTCTTATGTCTTTATTAATTAGCCAAAAATAAATTTTACTTTTTTTCCGTTTCCATGTAAATTGTTGCTTGTTTTGATTTTTTTGTCTCCAAATGTCAATGAATGTATTTTGTTTTATAAATTGTGTAAGGCTGTTGTTTTTTGTGTTACGTTTGTTGGTGTTACCTATTTGTTTTACGTGTCGTTGTAGTCACTCCCAATAAAAAGCTAGCCTTTTGCTTCAGATTTTATAACTCCAATGATTTAAAAAAAACAAAAAAACAACAACAACAACATTTCTTTCATGTGCATTATTTGGTGCTAACAGATTAATTAAAGACAATGTTATTTGATCAATTTAGATATTTACCCGTACAAAACGACCATTAGGATCCATAGAAGAATTTGAATCTTCTATTCTATTTTATTACTTATAAGAATTGAACTTGAGTATATTGTGTTACCATGCCATTCGGCATATCGAATTTTAACAGATTTTTGTGTGTAATGTTTCCTGAAGGAAAGCAATGTCTACTTTTTGATAATGCTGTTATGAATGTGGTTGTCTTGTTTGTTCGCCCGTCCTTGGGCATCCGCGATACTCCTGGGGTTAAACTCACTTTCGCTCTCTACAACCCTGGACTATGTCATAGCAAACCTGAACGATAGATCACAGAGGAGCGACACCCGACTTCAAAACTAGTATGTTTTACCGTTACGCGACCGCAAGATTCTTTTAATGTACATTAAATCTCCAAGGATGGAGCACACTGGGCCTTCGATTTTGCTATGACATATTCCAGGGGTGTAAAGAGCGAAAGTGAGCGTAACCCTTGGATACCGAGGATGGTCTTTGAGCGAACTGAAAGGTCAAGATACAAACTAGTACGTGTCTTGGCTGCAAAAGGTTAAAGGTCAAAAGTAATGTCAATTTCTCTGAAGGTTAAACATAAATCTAACTATATAGCAATTTTAATAATAAAAGCATGGACTTGGAGCAAATCAAAGATACAAATAGTTTGGAAATGTTATGCATTAAAATTCCGGAAACAGAGCTCCCCATATCCGTTTTGTTTTAGAATCTGCCTCATACAGAACTCTACTTCCGGCTTGAAAATGGCTATTCTCCACCGAGCCTTGTTTACATGGTTCATTGTACTAGTATTCCTCATATTAATGGTTTTAAAACTGGACAACAAAGTGGACTGGAATTGGTTTCTAATATTTACTCCTATGTGGTTATTTGATGCCGTTGTAACAATTTACATAACATTTAAAATGATCGTTCATTGCAAAAACGGCTACGACCGTTCAGATTTGTCGATGAGGCGAAAAGTTTACTACATGTTTGCAGTATTTCTAAAAATATCCTTCCAGATCTTGCTGTGTATGCGATTACAGTATTATGAGTTGATACGATTGTTATACGTCATGGTACCACTGTGGATATTGATGCTACAGACATTGGTGGATGTTTCCATAGGATTATTAAGCACTGCAAGATGAGTTTCAGAGTTCAAATCAAGAACTAAATAAACTGAGTTCACCTCTTACGGTGGTCAACGCAACAGGCAATATGGCTTTGTAGTCATGTCTTAGGACGCACGGGAACGTAATTGAATCTCGACTGAACTATTCACGGGGTTAGCTCTTGTCCAGGCAGAAGGAACACTGAGCACGAGGAAAGAAATGTGTATGGATACATGTGGCCTTTACCTGGTTGACAGTGTCAACACTGGAGCTTGATTCACCCTCATCATTACACGATACATTGGGAAATCAAATGACATTTCACGTTCAACGATGTAGCTGAATCCAATTATCATCCATTGATAAAGGTCCAACAGTTCAGTAACTTGAACCTCCATGTTAATCCTTTTCAAACAGTGACATATTGAGGAATCAAATGACATTGATAATGGGGCTTACAGCACAATAACATTAACCTCCACGGTGGCATTTCCAAGCAATGAAATACAATGATCTTCAATACGCATTAGTTCAATCAGGAAATAATAATCACCTGGTGAACTTGTACCTATCGTGCGTAACATCAAGTGGCATGCTGTAGAGAAAAGTCCTATGTAGAAAGTTGCCTATCGATTGTTTCTGACAGTCAAATCTTATTAAGTGGCTAACACCCTCCATAAGCTACTTTCAATTTTGTTTGTGCTCAGACAACCATATAATCAATGACACTGATAAAAGTTCCAATTGATAGTTGACTACCATCTTAAATTATCGGATATAGCACTTCATATGTTAAATACATTCGTTTCGGATCTGATATGAATAAAATGTATTTTAAAATTATTTTATTGTTGATTTTTAAAGAACTCCTAGAGCTATTTGCATAGTGCAATGTCCTTCCTTGATTATCATTTGTTGGACATCAACTTAGTTTAGTTCACCAGGTACAAAGTGGTTGTGAAGGTATTTTTATGGTGCAGTGTGTTTTGTCAATGTCAAAATTTTTGAAAGGCTTCTTTTGTGAAAAAAACAAAGACCAAAGTTAGTGATATTTGGCCAGTA